CACCCCTGCTGTACCCGCGGTCAGAGCAGGGCTGGGTCTAGTCGTCACCAATAACGTCAGAGTTCCTCAGGAATGAAGTGTCCAATCATTTTCATGCGTTTTCTATTTTTGTTTTTATTTTCTTGACTAATGTCAAGTGTCTGACCGAAATGTCAAAGCAGTGTCTACATAGACTTACTTGCTTTACCAAGCCTGGCTGCATATTGGGAGGTCTACTAGACATGAACTAGTTTTAGCTCGATACTGCAGAATTGAACAATCTGCCACTAAGACTAAACTCATGAAATACCGAATCCTAGGTGTTGCTAGCATTTCCTAACCTTCATTACTTTGGAAGCAGCAGAGTTATCTGAGTTCTCCTTTGATCGACAGCCGCCCAAGCACGGCCGCCTTGTTAGGTTCAGAGAATGAAGTGTGGTGCGGTCAAGCTTGTAAAAACCTCTCGGCTGAGAAAATAATTCTTACATGCCAATTCAATGCGGACAAGGTCGCGGCCGACCAACCTGCATACAACCAGGCTGTGGCTTTCTTGACGAGCCAGAGAGAAGAATTGGCCTTTGACGTGCTCACGGAGCCGGGGTCAATGGTATGCTTGGATTGAGATGCAAGTCTTTCGTCTATTGCAATGATAATGTGAAGGTATTTTACCATGTCGAGTGCGTGCCTATAAGGTCTCTCTTCTGCCACACATGTGTCAGGTCAGCAGCTATAATAATAGATCCCAAACCCAGACGAAATCCTCAACACTACATCCGTTCTCCTGTAGACTTTTTACAACTGCAGTCGCGAATACACAACAAACACTTCTACTGCAGCCTTCTGCCACATTCCCTCAACATATTCTCACTAGTCGCTATGCCTGAAAATGGCGAAAAGAAAGCTGGGTCTAGTCATAGTACTGATCCTCCTACCCGTCGTACATCTACACCTGCACCTGCACCTGCACCTGCACCGGCTCCTCCAACAAATGGCGAGAACACTTCTTCACCAGGAAAGTTCAATAGAATTTTAGAACCATCAGAGAAGAAAATCGGATTTCCGTAATCACAAAAAGGTATGAAGTCCAAGAAAGTCGGGCCAACCTCGTAATTTTCTTGTAGACATTGACACAAACACTAAGGCGCGAACGACAACGGAACAGGTCTGATGAGCCTCTGGATATTTTCTAAAAACTAGGCGAAACAATATCGACTTAACAATTAAAACTTGTATTTGTTTTTGTAGGACTTTCTGCAGTGTTTCAATTGATTGTTCCTTAGGTTATGTTGTGAGATTCTATGCTCTGTGCCTTCTCACGTGACTTGAATAAATCAGGCTATGATGAGGTAATTCCGTTGGTTCATGCACTAAGCAAACCACAAACCGAAAAACATCACTTCAGAACGGCACTTAATAACTGGGCTTCATGATAACGTATATAAATTAGATTTTGTTTGCTCTTTCATCCCCCGGCGAACTTCACAAGTTACTCTGGGCTTAAGAGTATTCTGCAGTCAACATTCTCTTGAAAGCCAGGATGCTCCTGCTTGGACGTGAAGGCGACGCTGACGAAGAACTGCGGCGCTATGCCATGCAGGTAAAATTCAACTTTGAAGATATGATTGCTGCGCCTGAAATGCCCGGTGCATTTCGCCTTCCTATAAAACTTCTGCCAGACTCTGCGATGATGCTTTTCAAGCATTTCTATAGCCAGAAGGTATATCTAGCACAAAGTCCTGGATTATTGTTCTGATCTTATTCATAGCGAGATGTCATATTTCAATGGGCGGAAAAGAAAGGGATCCTTCTCGACAAATCGAACAAGCTTGGACCGCAGATTATCCTATTACAACGCGGTGAAATTTCTGTCGCCAGCAACGAAGTTTCAATTTCGATTGTTGTGCCAAATCCCTACAATACTCAATCCGGTCGCGTCCCTGTCAGTGTCGCGTCGGCAATTAATGACAATCATCCGGCCTATTCGAGACATCATCTGGAAGTTGGTGATGTGCTCGTTCTAGAAGGACTGGAAAAGCTTTTAGTTCCAAGCGGAGACACAACAGGAGAGGCGAAGGGACTCTTCTTGGTTTCAGCAGTACATAGTGCAAACAATGTCGGAGAAGGCAAAGAAGGTTGGAACGAAACCCAGGTTCCGAGGGCGGATACCTGATCGACAGACTATCATGACTGAATACAATATTTAACTAAAACCAAGAGGGAGCGCATCATCATCTAGAAGATTAGAAAACGCCCATGCATTATTGTCAAACTGGGCCGGCTCGGTCGCTTCCACTGTCATTTCGTAGCTATTCTTCGTGATCTCATCACATTGGCCACCTGCCTTGATCAGCCAGTTCAAATCTTGTGCATCCTCATCGGAGTGCACTTCGCGATCATCCAACATTTCTGATATGGGAAGCATTTTAATCTCATGCCAGATCGCAGGGCTAGGGCGGCAGTCTTCAACAGAGAGTGCAGTGAGGCAGAGGGCTTCACCAATGTTAGGCAGTTCCTCAACCCTGTTCTTATTAGCGAGGAACCGTAAGAAGCAAATGACTCCAACATACGGCTTTTCAAGAAACCAGCAGACAAAGCTCACGGGATTTGGCACTTCTATGAACCTCGTGCCCTTTAGTCCTGCCTCTAATTGTGGTCGAGCGAGAGCGGCGAATTCTTGAATGATCTCAAGCTTGTCCTTCTCCGTTGCCTTGCCAATATTCCCAAACTTAAGTCCCTTAGCTTCAGTTGATCAGCGATCAGGCATATATGCTTGTAGAAGTTACTTACCAGTCATAGGCGCCAGTATAGTTAAACCCAGACAGTCAGTGGTTCCATCCTTGGCTTGACAGAGCTTGTTTGCAAGCAAGTTTCGATAACGTGCAATTTGCAACGCAGACCAACGCTCTTTGTTATTGAGCCGCTCCGTATTCTTATCACAGCGATTGACCCAGTTATAGAGGTCGACACAATTGAGGAGATGCTGTAAGGCAGCCAAGTATAATTTCGATCGTTGCTGGACTTGCTGTAACCACAGCTGCAATTCTTCAACGATCTGGTCGACCTTCCCAGGCTGCGAGAGAACAAGTTGTTGGGAACTTTCCAGCTTGTTGGTTATATCGGCATCATACGGCAAGACGTTTTGATCGGATAAAACTTTTTCAACCGGAGCGCTAAGTTGTGTGAGAAGAAGCGATGCAACTTTCGCGGTCGTTGGTTTCCGCCTTTTTCCCCGACTTCTCTGATTTGTTATAAGTTCTGATACTCTCTTCTTTTGTTTCTGTGGTTCTGTCCTGGTATTCTCCGAAGGCAAGTCAGGCGCTCCGTCAGTTGGTCGGGATTCTGTGGTAGTGACCGGTTGAGTGTATTGCTGCGTCAAGGTATCGCGGTCTCTTCGGTACTGCCATGTTGTGGAAAATGGCGAATGCTCACTAGGAGAACATACTGTAGACTTAGAGGTTTCGGAAGGGCTTATAGACCTTTCATAAATTAGGTCGGCATAATAAGAAGTTACCTATTCACTCACCGAGACCTCAGACGCCCTTGGTGGAATGCTTGGTCACCATTAACGGTGATGGAGACAGAAGCAGAGCTACAACATGGGAATACTGACGATACAACTCCTAGACAACCCCCTTCGTCGGGGCAAGCGGAGAGTTTCTCGGCAATGAAATGTTCATTCGTTTCGTGGAGGATCCATAGAACGTAAGACTCCCGGTTGCGGGTTATCTGAAAGAATCGGAAATCTTCCAGATAGGTCATCGATAAGGAACCCATATTGGGACTTGAGTGGCGTAGAGGGGGAGTTACTGCGAGTTGTCGTGGTGAGCGATGGGCAAGTCCTTTCAAGGCGATGCTATGAGGCCAAGAAACAGGGGTGGCGGGGGAAGGGGGGGGGGCGGGGGGGTG